ATGGAATAAATAATGACATGTTTATATTATAAAAACAATCAAATAAGACACACATAGATCAGTGAAACAAAACAGCAAGTACAAAAACTGACATACATGAAATATAGATGGATAGATAGACAGTAATAGTTAGACAATTTTGACAAAAGTTCCAAAGTAATTCAATGAGGAAAGAATAGTTACATGAAAACAAAAAAAGTAAATCTCAGTTGTTACCTCAAATCTTCTACAAACATCTGAAGTGAATCATAGACCAAATGGTTCAAGTGGAAAGTTCAAGTAACTTTAAAACGTTACTTCTAACTCTGTGAGGCAAAAATTCCTCAGAATCTCAAAATAGGCTAAGCCACGGAAGAAAAGCTGGACAACCTCACATTTAAAAACTTTCTCTTTAGAAGACATTGCTGACAACATGAAAGACAAGTTCACTGATGGAACAAATATTTGCAAAACATATATCTGATAACCTCTATCTAGCATAAAAATAATTTTTCAATTATATGCAAGAAGATAAAAACTCAATATTTAAATGGGTATGAGATTTGAACAAATAGTTCATCAAAGAATACATACCAATGATAAATAAGCACTGGAAAAGATGCCAAACACAATTAGTCATTTGGAAAATGCAATGTAACATGACAAATGAGAACGCACTACACAATCTTAGGATGGCTAAAATAAGACTAAAAGAGTAAGTGGGGCAAGACTATGGAAAACCTGCAACTTCTAAATTACTATTGAGAATGCAATATGAAACCACCAATTTAGAAGTCTGAAATTTTATCCAAATTAAAGGGGTTTTTTCCTGCTCATTAAAAGACACTATTAGCTGGGGATGCAGATCAGAAGCACAGCACCTGTCTGGCAAGCGTGAGGCCCCGAGTTTGATTTCTAGTACAAAAAAAAGACTGTTAAACAAATAAAAAGGCAAACTACATGTTTATAAGGATATATAAACTATACCCTTAATACATGCAATACTTTACAAAAGAATCAGTACATACTATATGAATAACTTCTACAAATCAATAATATAAAGGCAAAAATTGTCTAAAGACCTAACTAAATTCTGAAAAGTAAATGGAAAGTAGCAAGACAAAACTTCAGGCATGAGGAAATATTCAGTTCTGATCATATAAGTTTATCAAAATAGCAGTTTGTGTACATAAAAGATCTGTACATTTAACTATGTAAATTATACAGTGATCTTAGCAAACTAAAACTATGTTGGCATGTATAATATATATTATACATTGACTCATACTTTAATCTCTCTGTAAACTTATACCACTTGAGTATTATACTGTTTCTATACTAGTAGACAAAATTATTTTTAATTATAGAGCACTTTGATATGAATGGAATGAATGAATGAATATTTATTTCTCCCCCAAATTCATATGCTAAAACCATAATTCCCAATGTGAAGGTATTTGGAAATGAGACTTTTAGAAAGAAATTAGACATGAGAATAGAATCCACACTCCAACAATGCTCTCATAAAAAGAGTAAGGGACATGCGGTCAAGGAAAGGATGTGTGAGGACACAACGAGGAAGAAAGCGTTCCCTAAGAACTTGACATGCTAACACCCTAATCGTAAGTTTGCAGTCTCCAGAACCATGAGAAGTAAGTGTTTGATTTCTAAGTGACCCAGCCTGTGATGATTGCTATAGCAGTCAAAACCAAGACAATTAACAATCCTGCTGCAACAAAGTAAGTCTTATTATATGTCCTAAAATCACCCCTTATGGTACCTACCATTTCTAGTAATCTAGGATTTGACACAAAAATTCAACCTTTTACCCATATCCTTTGTGATCAGACCCTTAAATCTTCATCTTTGTCTTCCTGACTCTTTCTCTCAATTCAATGGATGTGAGGTTCTCTTTTTCATACTGCTTACTTTTTCATGTTTATACACTGTATTTTATTGACAAATGCACTGCAGTGTATTTTCAGTATCATTTCCCAATAAAGATAAACCATATTATTTATGAACCTGTGGCTATCAGCACACAGTAGGTTAAGGTTTGCAGAAGTTTTCTACATCTTTCACTTGATCATCACTGTAAATTTTGCATCACTACTGCTTATCCCTCTAAGTCCAGCTGCTCTGTCCCTCACAGGGCCATAGTGCTCCTAATGCCATCATTTGCTGTCCCCTAAGTACACGTCAACAATTCCCACTCCAGCAAGTGAGCTTCTATCTGACAGTTACTGGTGTCTTCACCGTGACTCACCTGACTGTCCCCATTATCTTTTCTTGGCAGAATTCCTAGATGCTAGGCCACCTCATGTACTTCTAATACCTACTGCACATTGCTCCCTGAACTGACTTCCAGGCTCACACACAGTACGCACTTGGGAGATCATTAACTTGAGGTCTTTTATTGTTGATCCAGTGCCACAAGAAGGCCTTTGCACTGTATTCTTCTTACACTTAGGGCCAAGTTCTCCAACTGTCAGGTTACTGCATCAATAACTGACAGGAATCTTGGAAGAAAAAAAACTGGCTCAGATTTTTTAAAAGCCTTACTTAATATATTTTTAGTGAATTTTAATTCATTAGAATTTTAGTTCAATGTGATGAATAAAAATATATCAAAGTCTATGCTAAAATAATGAGGAGAGATACAAACCTCAGAGAGGGGATAGAGAAGAGATAATCAAGAGACAAAGTAATGAGACAAAGGTAAAATAGGAACCAAAAATGCAGAGTTGACAAAGACAAAAGATAAACAAATAGAAAAATTAAGCCCGGTGTGGTGATGCATGCCTGTAACTCCAGCACTTGGGAGGCTGAGGCAGGAGGATCATTGAGAGTTCGAGAACAGCCTGGGCTACAAAGTGAGCTCAAGGCCAGCCTGAACTGCATAGACAGTGACACCATGTCTCAAAAAGACAAAATAAGCAAATAAACACATAAATACAAATTTTAAAAAATAGAGAATGAACAAGAGTTGGAGAAAGAGGCAATCAGACAGAGTTCAGAAAGAGAAGAGCTCCAGTTTCATCTGTCCCTGCTGAGAGGAAAAAATAAAATAAAATAAAAAGTACATCCTGGGGCTGGAGATTTAGCTCAGCGGCATAAGTGCACCTGCCCTGCAAGCAGGCAGTCGTGAGTTTGATCCCTGGTACCGATAAAAAGGAAAAAGACAAAAAAAAAAAAAAAAGTACATCCCTCAACCTCCAAATCTAAATCATATACATTTTGCTATAGTGAAAATGAGTGACTAGGGATTTCTATTTCAAAAAATACATAGAGAAAAGATTCGTTTAAAAAAGCAATGCCTCCCTATTACCCTCCCTGCAGTGTCTCCATCCTTTCTCAAGCTGGGTCGAGGATTCTCCACATTGCACAGAAGAAACTGAAGCTCATAAAAACGATTCTGAACCACCTCCATGCCCTGCTTTATTCCCTCAAGCCCAAAAGACATCCTCAGAAGAGCATGAGGATTTTTCTTCTTGTCCCTGTTTAGAATGCCTTCTGACAAAGAGTCCCATCCATCAAGTCCCAATCTCAATTTATACAGGGATAGAGTCTTCACCATATCTGCTTCAGGGATGCAACATTTTTGGTTGTACACAAAAGTCAACAAGTGCTTATAAGTATGCTGGTTCTAGATACACACATACATTACATATGTATGTATATAGTTAATTATTTTATAATCTTTAATAAAGAAATCTATTCAAAGTACTAACAGAAACATTCGAAGAATTTCCATCCTAATTTACTCTCCTTTCAATCTCATCGATGTCATCTTCATCCAAACTATACACCCCTGCTAAAAATTCTCCTTATCTAATCGGTAAGGTCTCTTGCTCTTATCTTCTAAATGTCTTTATCTCCCTTGCCACGTATCCACATCCTCCCCAAAAATAAAAACTCCCCTGAATGGATCTCTTCAAATTTTTCCATCCCCCAACATGGCTGCCAGCAAACTTTCCAAAGGAGTCATATTCTTCATGACACATCTTTAGCAGAAAGAATTAGTATCAAACTCCCTGTGACCCTTAGTCAGTGATTAAACAACTTGATTAAAAGAACACCTGGCAGATTAGTAAAGTGTTTCCAGAAATAACCAACATGGGAGCCAGCAAAAGAGGGGAGAAGACCTAACCTCATTCTGGGTGGCACCATGCAACAGGTTTGCAGCCAGATAGAATGAAATGGAAAGCAGGAGGAAGTGTGCCTGCACGTGGAAAAGCCTATCCACTGGAGCAGGTGCATCTTTTCCTCCTGCCACTGCCTGCAAACATCAAACTCCACATTCTTCCCCCTTGTAATAAGACTCGTACAAGTAACCCTCCACAGAGTCCCCAGGCCTTCAATCTCAACTGGTCATTCTTGTTCTGAGGGACTAGGCATTTGCTGAATCCTTTGGCTCTTCAGTATCCAATGGCCATAATGGACTATCCTACGTCGGATCCTGTAAGTCTGATAAGACCTCTTCATAATTTTATTCTGTTTGCAATTGATTCTGTTCCTCTAACTCCAAACATATACTCCTTTTTTGGTGTTTGAACTTTCCCCGTTATACTTCAACCAACCTTCCCACAATCATTTCCTACAACTCTCTCTCCCTTTCCCTACCTAGATCTAATTCTTATTCCCTAAACACTTCTGTTTTTTCTCTCCATCTGGCCTCTATCCGACCATCACTTTTCTTTTCTCTCCTACATATCCAGATTCTTGAAAATTCTGCTCAAATTCTACTTCTCTCCTCAATCTGATCACTGACCCTTGGGAAGAGTTAGCCATTCCTGTCTGGATTTCCAATACACTTGAAACACTTATTTATTTGGCTTATATTATAATGTATGGAGTTAAAGTATTTTTTTCCATTACAATGTGAATTGAACAAGTAGATTTGTCTCATTTGTTTTTTAAAGTACCCTGACACTTAGAATAGAACGTGTGCACAGTAGGAGCTCCATAGTCAAGATGAATTAATTAAGATGACCCAATATGGGATGAATAAACAAACATACCTTTTTGTGCTTTAATTAACTGTTTTCCAATTTCCAGTGTCACATAAGCTGTGCCATTTAGAACTATATCAGATATGGTCTTCCAAGCGTTAGGAGAGAGTCTTTCAGTGGGAGAAATAAAATTCCCTGCTGCATTGTTTATCACGATCTAATAAATAAATAAGGCAAGTTACAGAAATTTCTAGATGACAACACTTTTCCTGGAGGGCTTTTATCTCCAAAATTTATTAATCCACAAAATATAGGTACTAAATAGTGAGATTTGGGTTGCTTTCATGCTTTTGGAGCCTGTAAAGATCATATTATTTCCCATTTTCAAAATCCTAAACCTCTCTTTAAATTAGAGTATACTCTATTATTAAGAAAACAAATCCAGATAAAGAATGCTTATCATGTGACTACACCTTATTCCAAGAAACTTCAAGAAATGCCTCTTAATTTCTAGTGTCATTTAACTTAATGAATTTCTTGGTTAGTGACCTATTTTTTCATTATCAACAGATATTCTGCTTCACTCTACAGCAGATTCACTATTACTGGTCATTCTGAAAATATCTTTAACAAAGAAAAGTCAAGACTGCTGGGAACAAATTGCTTCTCTCTAACAAATGGATCAAATAACACCAAAATACTCATTTATATCTCTGGCCTTACAAGGAAAAATTTGGAAATCCTTGTCGTTTTCCTGGTTTTTATTGCTTTCTTCCACTGAGAATGATAATCAAAAGTTATTAGGAAAAACGAATACTATGAATCATTTAAAGTAGATACTGTACTCTTGGATAACTGCTCTCATTACTTCACACTCTTATTTAAATACAATGAAATCAAATTTGTTGTATGATTATAAATGCATCATTAAAGTATTCCTGGAAGGAAGTAGTATAGGGAAAAAAGTCCCTCTGCACACAGCTCTTGCACACATCCACAGTTTGTTCCTTTTGTGCATCCTGGTGGGTGCCACCAACATCAAAAGCCGGTGCTTTGGTTTCATCACCATTACACTTACATCAGGATGTCCTGCGACTTTGATCATTTCCATCACAGTGTTGTGAACCATATCAGGATTCCTCACATCACACTGAATTGCATGCACCTGCAAAACAACAGAAAAAAGAATCCCACATTTTTCTAGATTTCCTGAAACAATAGCAACAGTGAATTATTGATATATATTACAATTCCTACATTTAATTTAAGTGGCTGCTGTTTAATGTACCTTATTTCCAGTTTGAGAAGAAATCTGTTCTGCAGCTGCTTTCAAAACATCAATGTTCCTAGAAATAAACACATGGCAGATATGTTGCATGAATTTTGAAATGACTTCATATTACGCTTTTCTTTCTAATTCCATAAATTAAAAAATACAGAGTATCTACGCCTGAAAAGAGAAGCACTGCTGCTGAGATTATATCCAAACACAAATCAATTCAAATGAATTCATTTTTGAAAAGTTAAATTCAAACAATTTTTCCCATCTGATACTAACTCACTGAGACAGTTACTTTTACACCAACCACTTTCACATTATCTACATATAGATTTAAATTTTCCTAATTATAATCACTGTATCTGTGCTTTTACCCAAGCCATATTCAAAAAGAAGACACATTCATGCTGTTAATAGGTTATAGTACAAATTTATAGGTTCAGATAACCTGTATGTATTCAGTCTTACTTCCTTAAGACAAATGTGTGCATACACACATGCACGCACACACACACAAATACATGAAGATAAATTGCATAGTATTAAAATAAAATATTTCAAAACCATTAAATACAACAAAACAAGAAAGTGCTGGCCACTTTGTATTTCTAAGTGACATAATGACCATCACTGAGATGACTACTATAGTTATACACCATTCAAAACTGAAGGAAAGGGTGGATTTTTTTGACCAGTCTTTACAACTCCAGACTTACATATTTATAGAGTGCCAGTTATATCCTAAAAAGAAGATACCTCTTTCACATGGCTTTATCTTCCTATATTCATTACAACAAATGATTTGAAATAGATCTTAATGAAAACAGAAGAGTCCTTTATCTTGTTACAAGGTCAGTTATGAATTGAGGCAGTAATCATTACCTCTTCCTCTGAAAGAAATATAGCCTCAAAGTAGCACTTTTTAACCCTATCTTTTTAACTTTTTTCACTTCATCTTTATATACAGAAAAGAAACTACTAGATAAGCATGCTGGTGAGTGCCTGTGTCATGGTTGGTGGCCCTCAAGCCTCATTCATTTGCATTGTGCATTTGTGATTGGTTCATTGTCTAGCGCTTGGATTGATGGTGTCAGTGCTACACTGGCCTAGGGGTGGAGCCAGGATATAACGTAATTGCAGGAAGAAGGTGTGTCTCTCTTTTGCTGGTTTCTGCCTTGCTGTTTACAGCCACCATGCACTGCGGCTCTGCCATGCCACCCTGCCTTGGAGCCAACTGAGTATGGGCTGAAACCTCCAAAAACTGTAAGAAATAAACCTTTCCTTTCCTAACTTTGGGCATCAGGTATTTTGTCTCAGCGACCAGTAAAAAGTAACTAAGACAGCCTGTAATCTTAAAACTCTGGGAAGCAGATGCAGGAGGATCACAAATTCAATCCTCACCTACCTAATTTAACAACTTAATGAGATCCATCTCAAAATAAACAAATAAAAATATAAAAAGGTCAGAGGATGTCAGTCACTATGAAGTTTCTGAGTTCAACCCCAATACCGATGACAACAACAACAACCAAAAAACAAAACCTTCACTGGATTTAGAAAGCATGTCATCAGTTTCATAATTCTCACTATTTCTATCATCTAAAATTATAACTGACTTTTTCAAAGAATGGTTATTTAAATAATCTATAGAACATTCCCTGTAAGATTAAGATGCAAATCAAACAATGCTGGCAAATAGTGCTTTCAGTGGTGTGTCACAGATGGTTTCTTCTCTCATGTGACTCCTGAGTCCAACTTACCGGCTAGCTATCACACATTCAGCACCCAAGGTGGACAGGTAAGTTGTCATTGCTTTGCCAAGGCCGGTGCCCCCTCCAGTAATAAATGCCACTTTTCCTTTAAAAGTATCAGGTGGTAGCATAGGCTTTTGAAGTGGAAGAAAGAATTTAGACTGTGGAGCATTGATGTTCTGATGTAGTGTTTTTGTTCCATGACTGAAAAACTAAAAAAGAGAACAACAAAAAAAATGAAATGTACATACACAGATTTCTACAGAAGAGATTAACTCTTTAAACTTATTCTTAAATTTAATATCAAATTTCTAGATCAATAAAAACCATGTTTTTATATTTAGTAGCTAAAACTATTGTACTGAATCAGTTATTATTTTCTGAATATTAAGGAACATAATGAAATGGTCTCAAAGCTAACCAATACATAGCAGAATTTTCTAGAAACATAATTAGTACCAGCAAGCTTTGTAACCTTTAACTGTAAGATAGGAGCACAAAACAAATCGTCTAGATAGAACACTGTGAGGTTACATGAGTTAAGTGCAGTAAAAAATAATCACAGGTGTATGGAGGGCATCAGAAGACTCTTGTTAGCAGTATGATCTGCATATATTCTCCCTGAATCTTTTAAAGAACTAATATAAGTCATTTTTGTCTTTTAAAAGAATAATTTAGTAAAAACCATATCCCATCTCTAAATTACTTAAAAATTCTTTGTAAGGCTTACTAAATCAAATTTGAAAGGGTTTTGGCCCAGACAAGACACTGTAGCCAGGAAAACCTCAACTGGAACCAGGAAGCTCCTATCTCCCCCGCCCCTAGGAATTTACCTGTGCTGCCGTCTTCCCCACCCCTGGGAATTTGCCTATGGCGCCAAACCTAGGACCAATGGGCTACCCGTGCATCCCTAATGCCCCCCCTTAGGTTCCACCCCAAACCGAGGCTACTTACATACCCCCATACCACGTGTCCACTGGAGAGATTGCTGGACTCCAGCAGTGGGGAGTGCCAGTCATCTCTCTCCATGTTCTCAGAATAAAGGGCTCTTTTTGTTTTATATTTCTCATCTTTTGGAAATACTTTTCATCTTTTGGAAATAATCCTATCAAAATTGCTCTTTGTTCTCTTCTGGTCAGTAAATTCAGCGCACATAAACTATGCCTATTATACTTAAAAATGAGGGACCTTGATGCATTTTACACTAAAAATTTTGTGTTATCCTATTTTATATTTTAGTAAATAATCATAATATTTGTAAAAAACTCAACTGATATTCTCTCACATTTAGTCATAAAAACAAACCTCAAGTGCTGAACATAGCAACAGGAGCTAACATGCATTAAGTGGTTACCAGGTGCAAGGATTAGATATTAAACTGATCACCACAACAACCACATGAAATAAGTACTATTTTATCTCCTTGTAGAGGACAGGTTTAGAGAAGTTAAAACATTGACACAGTTGCAGGAGCAAGATTAAATATGGGCTGGCAGTTCTCAGGCCCTCTATGATAACACCATTCATACTGCCTTATCTGTTTCCTGTGTATCTACTAAGCCTAATAATCACACCAGGCAGATATATGTTATTCCACAGTCAGGTGGAAAGACTGAAAGATCAAAACTGCAGAATCTATCATCTCCTTCTAGAGCATTCAGATAAGCTAAATAAGCTATCATTACTTGGATATCTAGATATCCAAGATATCTAGATATTTGCCTCAAGAAAATAATTAGAAATATGCTGAGTCACTTGGAACAATGAACATCATCAACTGGAAATTACACAAGAAAATGCTTATGCTGTGATGTTAAGTAAAAAAAGAAACAAATATGCAGTATGATCTTAACTATGAATAAAAATAAAGGCTTAGGAAAAAGGCTACAATCACAACAATAAGCATACAACAACAATAAGTACTAGACTAAATATTTACCATAGGCCAGCATCTCCTATCGACTTCGTCCACACAGCCGTGTAAGGTAAATTAGTAAAGACCTGACTCAATCCAGCAGCAGAGTGACTTCAGAGTCTACTCTTTGCTTTGTAGTTATTGTGTCTAATAAGGGTAATTTGTTTTTCCTATTTGGTAGGTTTTAAGTGTTTTCAAAATCTATTCATTAAGTATGATTTGATTTTATAATCAGGAAAAAACATGGAAAGATAAAATTTGAGAACATATACTGAAGAAAAATTTGCAAATCCAGTTATGTTTCATGCCAGTTATATTTCTTTTAGCTTCATGTTAACAAAGCACTTTATTATTATTATTACTATTACTATTATTATTTTATTTTTATTATTATTATTTTTAGGTAGCCTTTTGCTAAAGCATGATAATCCAAGCAGCCTACAATCATCTTTTTCTGCATAAATGGCAGTTTTACTTAAAGTTGCCACCGCCTCCAGGACCATTATATTAAGATGATGAATCAGGAAGTTTGCACAAGTAGGCTGGCAAATTTGTCAGTATCTAATAATAATGAAAAAAGGTATTCTAATTTTCCAAAGGCTTTACCATGAATTTTTATTGTGTTAATTTGTGTACAGAATTTGATGTGATGCGCTCTGAGAGACAATTTTAAAAATATACACATACAACTAAAAATCTATTTAAAAGCATTTTCTCAATGCTCACTGGTAGAGGAAAGCACATAAAGATGAAAAATTAACATTTAATAATAATAATAATTCCTAGTATTAAAATACAGCAGGTTATTATATATCAATCTTACCTATTTAATCTGATCAATACTGATCTTTTGAATTCATTTCCCTACAGATGCACAAAGTAGAAAACTTGATTTGCTATCTTAACTGACTTACCTTCTAATAGTTCATAGCACTTCCATGAATAAACCTTTCGTCATCTCTTTTCCTTAAGGTAAGTTGTTCATTTCAATTTAAATGATCAGATCTCACAGGATCATAACATATTCATTCATATAGTTCTACAAAAAGCATCCTAAATAACTCGAAGGTGCATTTGGTCATTTTTTTTTGAATTGTTAAAAGTGGATACAAAGTAAACTGAGTGATTTTCAAATCTTGCTTAGTAGTTTTTCTAGAAATGAGTTGTTTTTGCAGAAAGAAATAATAGATTTCATATCAAGACTAATTTCTCTGGAGATCTTTGGTGCCCTTTAATTCTTAAAACTCTTGAAAATCTTTCAATTTTGGCAAAATATTTTGCATTAGAAGTTTAAATCTACTTATCATATTTATAGCTGAATATCATAGCTAAATAAAGGAAGGTAACATTTTTCTCCTACCAGACTGATTAAGGTTCAAATTTTTATAATACAAGAAAATACTTCATTAAATTCACTCTACTCTGTTGATGTGAATTGTGGCAAGTTCTTTGGAAGCAAACTTGGCAAAATTTATCAAAATGTTAAACACAAAGACACTTTGGGGCCATCCACTCAGACTCCTTTTGTGTCTCTCAGACAGAAGCTTTCTTTCCCTCGGTAAATATTTTCTGCTCTCAGAAAAAAAAAGAAAAACAGAGAACCTTTGATGTACCTTCAGGAATTTATCTAACAGACACACTCACTCATTTGGGAAGGGTGGGGAAGCAGACACTGTGCTCAAAGTATGCACTAATCATGGTGGTGAGCACTTACCTATTATACACAAGGCCTTAGGTTCAGTCCCCAGCACCACATTGAAAGGATGTGCATAAAGATACATATGAGATTAAGAAACTAGTGCTATTTATGAGCACACTGAAAGAGTCAAATACAAATAAATTTAATACAGCAGTGAAATGCCAAGTATGGGGCACATATCTATAATTTCAACACTCTGGGAAGCTGAGACAGGAGGGTTGCAAGCTCAAGCCCAGCCTGGGCAATTTAGTGACTCAGGGAAAGCTGGTCTCAAAACAGAAAGGGCTGGGGATATAGCTCAGTGCAAGGCTCTAGGTTCAATCTCTGGTATCACCAAAAAGAAAAAGAAAAAGGGAGGGAAAGGGAAAGGGAAGAGAGGGAGAGAGTGAGAGGAGAGGAAGAGAGGAAGAGGGGAAGGAGGAAAAGGGGAGGGGAGAAGAGGGAAAGTGGGAGGAGAGACGGGGAGAGGCGGAGGGAGGGGGAGAAGGAGAGGGAGAGAGGCAAGAGGTGTTAATTTGAAAACTATAACACATCATTAATATCATTTATTAAAGAGCTACATGACATCCTGAATTCATGGGTTAGCAAAGTTATTTTATGTAAAAAATGATACTCCCTACACCAAATCAGCAGACTCAAACATATCCCTATCCTAATCCTACTTGGCTTTCTGAAAAAGTTGACAAGACTATACTAAAATTAATAAGCAATGAAATGCAACAGATTCAAAATAGTCAAAAATATGATTCCATTATCTGCAAAAAGAGTAGTTAGAACTTACACGCTGAATATAAACATTACAAATATTTGTTGAGTATGAACAATGTGAGGCCTTACTAAATATAAAACTCACAATAGACAAATATGTGTGTGTGTGTGTGTGTGTGTGTGTGTGTGTGTGTATATAATATGCTCTCATTTGTGTGGATTTCTTAAAAATTTATGTACATATTAATATATACATAAAAATTGCTAGAAGGATTTTTCATTGCAGTAACATCTTGGAAGAAAGATTTCCCATATATTCTTCATATAGCTTAAATGTTCAATAGGTACTTTAGTTAATATTTCATTAAAAGTTAACACAAGATAAAATCATATATGCAAGCAAATAGCACAAAAAGGGTGTAGAGAAAAGCAAAGTTCTAACAAGAAAAATGGCATAGAATCCATTTCATAAGGTCACGCACTAAGCCTCACATACAAATACTCGATATTCAATATGTGAATATGAGCTACATTTATGGACAATAAAATACTTCCACAGCTGTTGGGGGAAGGGAGTTCTAACTACCTGTTGGCTTAGGCCAAATGGACATTTTTAGATCAAATCTTCTGACTCAAATTCACATGTAGAGTTTTGCACATTGTCATATAAAAATGTCAGATGGGAAAACATTAGGCAGCTATATTTTTTAAAGCAGGAGACTGAAAAAAATCACATCTTTCCATTTTCAAAGCACCTCACATATTTTATACCTGTGCATAATAAGCTTTCTAAAGCTAAATCCGAGCTTACTTTGTACAGCGGCTAGAAGGCAACTGTCTGGGAATTGTGCTGTTTCCAATGTCCAGACCAATGCCACTTCATCATAGTG